GGTGGTGCGTGGGGTGGGGTGGGAGTTCTGGGTCCAGAACAGCAGTCCCACCTGCCCCGGCTCCGCTCAGCTCCCTGAATCCACGCAGGGCTCAGAGGCGGCCGCGGCGTGAGACAGGTGGACATAAGGAAGACAACAGAGTTGGACCAAAATCAGGGAGAAAGAAAAGATACGAACGAAGGAAGAAGAACCGCCGGTTCTTCTGTTTCGGTCTCTGTTTGAGTCGTCGCTCCTGCAACACACTCTGGGCTGATATCATTTAAAACTATAAAGCATTCAGTAAATGAATGAAATCATTTACAGAAATTAAACTCAACCATGTGACCGCTGAATGCATGAAAAATGCTCATTTTAAAAATCAGCTGTTGCTGCAGACATGAGAATTCAATTATTTAATCAACTGCTTTATCAACTCAGAATCTTCCCGAGTAAACTACGGCATCCATTTCCAAGTGCTACTATTAGTTTATAGATCACTCAGTGGTGTGGGGCCAAAATACACGTCGAAGTTTCTGATGTATACTTCTCCGTCAGCAACTTTGCAGTCAGTCACACGCATTGATGGAGACATTTTACACATCTCTATTAGCGTCAACATGGCTGCAGACCCGGAGACCGCGGATTCAAGCTTCACCCTCGTCGGGGGGGGGGGGGGGTATCGCCTCTGACCGTTTGATGGGAGAGCGCGGGGGGGGGGGGGGGGGTCTTCAGAGCCATGGACATAATTTTCACTTTAGAAGTGTGTGTGTGTGTGTGTGGGGGGGGGGGGGGTATCTTTACAGTATGCTCTAATGGGAAACAGGCTTCAACACAAACGGTTGTTTTCTGCTTGGTCCTAGAGCTCAACCAGTGTCAATTTAATATAACGTAATATTGTTTTTGGATGGTAAAAATCGCAGGGGTCAAAACTTGACTTTGGAAAAAGTGGGGGGACATGTCCCCCCTGTCCCCCCCAAAAATTGCGTCCATGTTGAGAGCGGATATTGGAGTTGTGGTGTGAGAGTGTCTGAAGAGAGTCAAATCACTATGAAACCAAGAATGGTGCTTTCTCCATCAAAGCCTGGATGCTGGGAGCTTTCTTCAGCTGAATGAAGATAAGACTGAGATCCTCATCTGCGCCCCAGACAAGCTGGTTCCCAAAGTCAGAGACTCTCTTGGTCAGCTTGCTTCTCACACCAAACCTTCTGTCAGGAATCTTGGCGTGACCTTTGACCCAGCTCTCACCCTGGATTCTCATGTCAGTTCTCTTGTTCGCTCTTCCTTCTTCCATCTCAGGAACGTTGCTAAGCTGAGTCCCATTCTGTCCCGCTCTGAACTTGAGACAGTTCTCCACACCTTCATCTCCTCACGCTTAGACTACTGTAACTCTCTTTTCACGTGTCTGAGCAGAACCTCCCTGAACCGTCTACAGGTGGTTCAGAACGCCTGTGCTCGGCTTCTGACCAAGTCCTCCAAACACACCCACATCACCCCGCTTCTCCTCCAGCTTCACTGGCTGCCAGTCAACTTCAGGGTTCATTTCAAGATCCTGGTTCTGGTCTATAGGGCCTTACATGGACAAGCACCATCTTACATTGGTGATCTTCTTAGTCCCTACACCCCCAGCAGGTCCCTGAGGTCCAGTGATCAAAGCCTACTGGTTGTGCAGCACCAGGCTAAAGGTCAAAGGTGACAGATCATTTGCTGCTGTGGCCCCCAGACTCTGGAACTCTCTCCCCCTGAGCCTGAGATCAGTGGACTCAGTGGTCTCCTTTAAAAAGCAGCTGAAGACTCACTTGTTCAAGCTGGCTTTTGTATGACCTTCTTCACCTCTCTCTCTTTATTCTGCTCTCCCCACCTATTCCACCTTCCTCAGGATCCACTGATTTCCCTCTTTCCTGTTCACTCTCTCTCTCTTTAACATTTTTTAATCACAATTGTCTATTTTAGCTCATTTTAAATATATTTTTCAACATTTTCTAAATGCTTTTTTATATTTTTACATTTACTGTTTTGGTGAAGCACCTCGTGATTTTTATCCTGAGAGGCGCTACAGAAATGATACTTTCTTCTTCTTCTTCTAAAACAGTAGAAGCCTGAATCTGCAGCTGGCCTGAATCTGCAGCCGGCCTGAATCTGCAGCCGGCCTGAATCTGCGGTCTCCGGGTCTGCAGCAACACCCTTCTCTTTAGTGTCAGTGTTGTGAAGCCATTCTCTACCAGGACAACAGAGGGCACAGCGCTTTTCTGGAGCATCCTTCCGTCAGTCACCTCTAGTGTGTTTGTATTTGTTTATCTCAGAGACTTTTTAACACGACAAATTTGTCCTCCACCTCCCAATCCAGTCCCCACCTCTAAACACTCACGTTTTCTGTAAATTCCTGACACAGATCATTCTTTCTTGGTGCATTAACGTTTATATTGTCTGACTTTTCTCACAAGACGTTCTTCAGTCTGCTCTGCGTCCGTCGCTATGCTCTCGTTGATTTCTTTGAGGTGGAATGTTGAGGAAGTTAAAGGGAGAGGTGTCCTGATTAATCCCAGGCTCGCGGTCTCCGTCGTCATTACAAGCCTGGAGGGCCCTCAGCTGGGAAAACCTCGGGTCAGAACCAAACAGGGTGAAGGTTTAGCTAGCATGCTGCACACAGATGCAATCAGATCCCTCATTCAATTCAATTCAATTCAATTCAAAAATACTTTATTAATCCCAGAGGGACATTGATTGCTGTAGCAGCTCAGAATAATAATAATAATCAAGTCATCAAAGAGTTGTTGTATATTACAATGGCTGTTGGCAGGAAGGATCTCCAGTAGCGGTCAGTGTTGCAGCCAAACTGAAGAAGCCTCTGACTGAAGACACTCTTCCGTTGTCGGGCAGTCTTGTGAAGAGAATGCTCAGGGTTGTCCATCATTTTCTTGATTCTCTGGAGAATCCTTCTTTGCATCATCTCCTCCAGCGGTTCCGAAACTGCCGAAACTCTGGCTGAGTCCTTGAAAGGGCTTGGAGTTCCTCCATCTTGTTGGCCAGTGATCTCACATTGCCCGTTATGATCGATGGAAGAGATGGTTTGAATTTCCTCTTTCTCTGTCTCCGTTTTGCTCCCGCTCTGCACCCACGCTTCTTGCGTTTTAGCTCATTTGGGATTTGTGGCTTCAGTTGAGGTATTATTTCAACCTTTCCCATGTTAATCATCTGCTCCCGATTTGTAAACCAGCTTGTTGCCATGGTTACGCATCATAACAAATGCTCAAAAAGTGAAAAAAGTAAAAAAAATTGCAGTAAAAATCCTCTAAGCTTCACAGCACCAGAAACAGAAAAGTAAAATGTCAAAAAATACAGTTTTTCTTGAGAAACTAGAAGAAAAAATGTCGAAAAAAGGCAAAACTTACATATAGCATGACCTCAAATGTGCCCCAACTCTGGTAACTTTCATGTATTCATCGGCCTTTGGATGAATGTTTCTCATGCTGCACCTTCTGCACTGTAACTGCTCACCCTTAAGTTCTTACATCTAAATTTATCTGTGTGTAATGAAATGTGATTTAATAATCAGCTGTTTGATGTTGTCACTTTAATTTTAATGTGTTCATGCTGTGCTTGCATCTAGAAAGCACGTTAAATAGCTTCTGCGTATTAAACGTGTTCTATAAATAAAGCTGCCTTGCCTCGCCTGAACGATTGTTGTTGGCAGAGCACATTTTAGGAAGAAGAAACAAGAATAAATTAAATAAATGGCTGAAAATTAACTAATAAATGTCGACACTACGCTAAAAACACCCAGGAATGCATCAGAAGCAAAGATCGAGTGACTCAGAAGAGATCCTGTGTGAACCCGCAGCTAAATTCTGCTAAACATCTGTGGAACGAGCTGAAACATCTGGAGAAAGAGCCCCTCAGACAGCTGGAGCCATCTGTTCATGAGGAGGGGGCGAAAACACCTGTGGACAGGTGCAGAATGGCAGAAATCAGCTCAAAAGGTTGAAAATCAAATGTTAAATAAAATGTACCATCACTGTGATCCAGGTGTGTTTGATTTGTTTTGTGTGTTGGTTCAGTTATTCAGTTGCCTCACAATTCAAAACCAGCCTGTTTGGGTTCGAACCGTTCATTTTCTGTAATGTTTAAGAATTAGTAAGTTGTGTTATTTTCACTTTTGATTTTGATTTCTACTTTTACCAGAAGGGACAAAATAATAATAATCATACAAATGACTTGTTGTGCTCCCCAATAAAAAGTCAATGATTTCAGCCGCCTGAAGTTAACTTTATCCTCAGGGATGTAACTGCTTGTCTGTCGTTATCATTTTCAGTCATTTGAACTCATTACATATAGGGCTGCACGATATTAGGAAAACCCGCAATAGTCGATAACAATGATTAATGTTGCGATGGCGATATTAGTTGCGATAAATAAAAACTAAACTCAGGAACAAAAATGATCAAAAACAAAGAAATAACAAAAATCATAAACATGAGAAAAGCAAAAGATTTGAGGAAAGGGGGAAAAAGAAAATGAACAAGATAAGGCAATCAGAGGATCCCGGGAAAAGCAGAATCAGCAGAAAGAGCAGAACAAAGCTAACTCAGGTGTTAGCTAACCATTAAAATTAAGTGCCGTCCGCCTCGGGGGCGGGCATCTGACCTATGAGAACCCACCCGATTGGCCAAACGGGTGAAGAGCTCTATTTGATTTGTTAAAACAACATCATGCTTCCGTTTGACTGACAGAATGCGTTATGTGTAGCAAATATCCGAGCTGACCATTCACTGCGATATTTATATGTTCTTTGCGATATTCAATTCAAATTCAAAAATACTTTATTAATCCCAGAGGGAAATTGATTGCATATGCATATTGAGCATGCTGATATCGCGATAACGATATATTTATGATATATGAGGCCCTAATACATATTTAATATTAAAACACTTAAGAATGTTAATTATCTATTATCACAACACATTCTCACTCCCAGCGTGTCAAAAACAAACGCTTGGTCAGCCACCCTCCACGTCAGACCC